TCCTTCCTTCCTTCCTTCCTTCCTTCCTTCCTTCCTTCCTTCCTTCCATCCTTCCTTTTCCCCAAAACAAACATACCCACATACACATAAATAAAACTATGTGAACTGTTTTTACTTTTTCTTATTTAATAGATCTTGGAAACCACTCTCTATCAGTTCATAGAGATTTTCCTCTTTCTTTCTTTTTTAAAATTACTGAAGAATATTCCCTTGTGTGGATATGCCATAGTCTATTCAACAAGCCTCTTAAACATATTTCTGCTGTTTCCAGTCATTTGCCACTACAAAATTCACTGCACAGTGAATAACCTCATATCTGTGTTGTTTTGTGTTTGTGGAAATGTACCTTCAGGGTAGATCCAGGAATCTCATTTTTAGAAACATCCCAAATGATTTTGATGCACAGCCAGATTTGAGTACTGTTGCTTACTGGGTAAAAACGGTAAAAATGGTATTCAGGAACATAGAATTGTTAACATTTTTTTTTAAGTGAAGAAACAATAGGTAAAGAAGCAAAGTTCTCACCATCCTGAATCCTCACCTACACTACTTAGAAGAAGGCAGTTGAGTTATATCAACAGCAGCTTAACTTCTGGAGTCTTGTGCCCAAATCACTGAGTTGGTATCAAGAACATCCCTTGTAGACACACATAAGTGACCTGGGTTTGGGCAGCAGACACCTTTCAGTTGAGACACGCTGAGTCTGAAGTAGCCATGGGCCATCCAGGAGTGGTATCTAATAGGCGGTCGTGGGCACTGGTTTGCAGATCAGGTTAGGAGTCATTAGCGTGTAGATGAGAGAGTAGGTGAAAGATGCCTGAGGGGAGGATTACAGAGTGAGGACGTGCTCAGGATGGAACCCGGGGGAGTCCTAGTACTTAAGAGGACAGCAGAGGAACCCAAAGAAACTCTCAGTGGCTACAGAGGTAGGAGGAAAACCTGAGAACACAAGTCATGAAAGCCGGGGAACAAAGTGTTACAAGAAGAAAATAGTTACCAGGGTTAAATATTGTTGAGAGGTGAGGTAAGACACAGGCAAGAAGGTATCCACTGGATTTAGCAACAAAGAGACCAGTCGTGTGAGGGCAGATTCAGTGTTGTGGTGGAAACAGTAGTCATTGGGAGTGTTCAGGAAGGAATTCAAGCTCACATAGAGGATCCTTGGAAACACCCGTGTTTTGTGAGCTGCAACATAGTTTTTCTAAAAGCAACAAAAGGAGATACTTGTACCCAAAGGGAAAAATCAATTTTAGTATTTTCTCCCATAGATTTTTCTTAAACCTTTGGTGCTGGCTGTTGTTTATGTATATTAGAATCTATCATAAAATGCTTTGGGATTTAGCAAACAGTGTCTGCTTAGTTATTTTGGGTTTACTATTAATAGAGTGATTTCATAATAAACCGTATAAAAGTAGTAAGGTAGTGATATACTTTATGGTGTTCCTCAAAGAGTAACAAGGCTTTCAAATAGTATCCCCAGCATGTGTGGGAACCATGGCTCCAGAATAACTTTTTAAAGTCACTGTGATTCTCTTCTATTTCCCTTTCCCAGTCCCCCTCTATACTCTCGGCTATAAATAGATGCTTTTTTGCCCCACTGTGAGCAGGTAGTTGTCCAGCTTAAAGAAGCTTGGGTGACCAGTTTGTTCTCACAGAGGAAAAGATGAAAAAGACTTTGAATGTCATGTAATACAGCAGTTCCCAAATCTGGCTGAACATCAAAATAGACAACTGGGACGTGCATTAAAAAGACAGAATCCTGGGTCTCTGTCCTAGATCTCGACAGAGTGCGTATGGAATGGTGCCTAGATAACTGTACCTTGAATAAGAGTCTTTGATGATATAAATTCAACTCCTTAAGGAAACGGAGAACAAAAGCAGTCATGAGTAAACGGGTCTCCCGACTGGAGATTCGCTGTTCTGTGCTTTGGGTGGTGGCCGGTTGTCCTGAAGAGCATCGGGGTTTTCGTTTTAGGGTGTTGGAGAGGGCTTGCTTTTCTGGGCTCTCTAGGCTCACTAGACATGGCCTTCCCTCACGTTTCTCTCCCCGGAGGTGTTAGAGGTTCTGCGGGTGCCACTCCTGACGCTGCCCAGCGGGCGGATTAACACCTGGCACCGCTCAGACCCTCAGGTCTGGTTGCCTTGCGCGCACGCTCTTCTCCAACCCCCAATCGCTCCGCCCTCATCCCCTCCCCTGCTGAGTCTCATCCCCGCCTCCCGCGGGAGCCTTGGGGCGGAGCTTCGCCGCTGCCCCGCCCCTCCGCACGCGCAGGCCGCGTGGGGGCGTTCCCGGAAGTTCTCAATTTTCGGAGCTGATTGGCTGATCGTGGCCGTGTACCCTGCCCGGGAGCAGGGTGCACGGGGAGAGTTGCAGGGGAACAGCATGGCTTTTTTGAGTCAGCACTTGCGCGAGCTGCAGGGACCTTTGCTCCCAGCCAAGGACTTGGTGGAGGAGGACGATGACTGGCTGAAGGAGGACGTGGCGGGGGATGAAGACGTGGAGTTTGTCGATGCCGAGGAGCTGTGCAGTGGGGGCGTAAAGGCGGGCACCCTCCCTGGGCGCCAACGCGGTGAGGAAACCCTCTGCCCCGAGGGGATGGGATTGGAGGATGAAGTGTTGTTTCCCGTTCTGGCCTTGTCCTAAGTCAGGCGCCCGATTGCTGCTAACAGACATTTTTTGGGATGGCGTAGCTGTTTCATCCTACTTAGGATAAGATTATATAAATAAATTACAGTAGCAGTGACTTGAGTAATACCGTGCGTTAAGCTTGTGCTCAACGTGTATTATCTCATTTGATGTTCACAACTCTTTGAGGTAGTTTTATTTTTATAGTCGAGGGAACAGTTGGATGTTGAGCCTGTATTCACACGCAGAATTAGACTTTTCAACTATTTTCCTATCCTGCCTGGAGTCAAATATTTACTTTTCAGCTACTTAGAAAATACACGCACACAAAAGAAACACCTCAAGGCGTTGTGGATTCATTAACTTTGTGTGAATAACGTTGTGATGTGCTTGTGTAGTTTCCTGTGCTATACATAATACCCGTTGTGTGTACATTGTGACTGATATTTAAGAAAATTTTACTGGTAAGACCAGTAGAATGTTCTGTGCTGATGGCACTGTTCTATGTTTGCGCTGTCCAGTACAATAGCCACCAGCTATACGTGGCTATTGGGAACGTGAAATGCAGCTAGTGCAACTGAAGAGCTGAATTTTAAATTTTGTTTAATTTTTATTAATTTAAGTTTAAGTAGTCACATGTGAGTGGGCAGCGCAAGTTTAGACAGAAAGTTTTCAAGTATTTGTAAGGGTTTAGTCATTTATCCTAAAAATATTAGTGACTGGATACCTTGTTCCAAGCATGGTGGTGTTTGTTGCCAGGGGGGATACCCGGGAGAGATAAGATAATGAGGTTTCTGCCTTAATGGAGCTTGTTCTTTCGTGAATTAAATAGACATTCTTTAAATAATTACAGAAGTAACTGTAATATTACTTAGTTCATAGAAGGAATAATAAGTAGTGCTATGAGAGGTTATAATCTTGAGATTCAGGGAAGACTTTCCTGAGGAAGCGACAATTAAATTTAGAGGTCTGTAGCAAATGGGGGCAAACAGTAAGGAAGAGAACATTTGAGGCAGATGGAATAGCTTGTGCAAAGGCCCTGTGGTGGGAGAGACCATGGCATTTTTTTAGAAATTGCATGAAGGTCATTTTTGGCTCAGGTCAGAGTAGCAGAGAGATGACTGTTTTTAGAAGACAAACAGCAGACTTGCCATGTACCATACTTACCTCTTGGAATACAAGGACAAGTGAAACATTGTCTTATTTTAGAGAGCTTATAGCACAGTAGAGAGAGACTGATAACCAGGTAAGTGGAATGTAAATACCCTAATAAACATCTGTACAGGGTGCTGGGGCGGGGAATAAAGAGAGTGGTAGATTTGGTGAAACATTGAAAAGGAGGTTTTAAAATGTCTTAAATTAACTTTTTTTTTTAAAGTTGTAATTTCTGATGAAAACACTCAAGAGCAATGTGACGTGTTTGGACGTTTTCCAGTAACGGGTCCTTGGTGGCGAGTGAAGGTGCAAGTGAAACCTGTGGGATCAAGGAGCTATCAAGTTCAAGGATTTCCATCTTACTTTTTACAGTCTGATATGTCACCGCCAAATCAAACACACATCTGTTCCCTGTTTCTTAAAGACTGTAATTTCCCCAGTGATTATATAAATAAATTTTTGGCATGGGTAAGTGCTGTATCAAGCTTTAAAAACCTCAACTTTGAAAATCTTAGGGAAACATTAAGAACTTTCCAAAAGGAAACTGGAAGGAATGGTCAAAAACAGTCTACACAGAATGAACAGGAAGAGTCTCTACCAGAAAACAAGATGTGCCTCCCTGTGGAAAACACAAGTAGGTGTGATTTTATCATCTAGTTTTATTGTAATTGAAATACTTAATGACTAGTGTGTTTAAGATATCACCACTATAGTATCTTGGCATACTGTTCTTTTTTAAAATCTGTTTTTGAAAATGTGTTTCTATTGCTTTTGGGTTTGTCATTATAATTTCCAGGTTCCTCATCATTAAGGTGGAGAGGTTGGGTGAGATGATCTTTAAGCCCCTTTCAGTTCCTCCCCAGCTCTAAAACTGTGTTTCTCTCTCTCTTTTTTTTTTAAGATTTTATTTATTTATTTGACAGAGAGAGACACAGTGAGAGAGGGAACACAAGCAAGGGGAGTGGGAGAGAGAGAAGCAGGCTTCCCGGCAAGCAGGGAGCCCGAGCAGGGAGCCCGAGCAGGGAGCCCGATGCGGGGCTCGATCCCAGGACCCTGGGACCATGACCTGAGCCAAAGGCAGATGCTTAACGACTGAGCCACCCAGGCGCCCCTCTCTCTAACTTTTGTGTGCATGGGATTACCTTGAGTCGTTAAGAAAAAGTTCAGTTTTTAACTACTCAGTTCCAATTATTATTCTGTTTAAGAAGGCAGAGGAGAGGGGCACCTGTGTGGTTCAGTTGGCTAAGCGGCTGCCTTCAGCTTAGGTCATGATCCCAGGGTCCTGGGATCGAGTCCCTGCTCAGCGGCGAGCCTGCTTCTCCCTCTCCCTCTGCCTGCCACTCCCCCTGCTTGTGCTCTCCCCCCCTCTCTCTCTGTCCAATAAATAAATAAAGAATCTTGAAAAAAAAAAAAAAAGAAGGCAGAAGAGAAAGGTAAGAATACGAGTATTCCATTTTGGAAAGATTTCAGTCCAAAATGGTATCAAATAATTTTTTAGTATGGTTTGTTATCTCGACATTCACATGAATGGAATATTTCATTTCTTAATTACATCAAATAAATTTGTCAGGACATCACTGAATGACTTCAGTGACAAAAGAATCATGATTACAGTCAGAAAAATGATTATAAAGGTTAATATGTCAATGATTTATTTTTTATGCTTAGCTTTAAATTTATCTTTATATCACAGAGTCACAAATTTTACTCTGATTATATTGTACACAAAAGGAAACAGAAGGCTAAGAAGCGGTTGTCTAAGTATTTGAAGAACATAATGAAAACCACTTCAGTACAAAATCCGTTGTTATAACACGATCAATTTTCTTGCTGGTTAAAGTAAATTTATTTGTCTCTCTTTGATTTGGATTTTTGGAACTGGTTGTGCTCCAGGAGAATGTCCATCACATCAGTTGTTCTTGAGCTCATTTGTATGTTTTGATTTGTTCTTTTCTATTATCCTGTAGCTCCATTTAAAAGTGTAATGACAGCTTTGCAGTTCCCAAAAGTAATGGAATTCCTTCCAGTTCTTCTGCCTCGACACTTTAAATGGCTCTTAAGCTCAGGTTCTAAGGAGGTGTTGGGAGACCTAGAAGAGATGTTAGGTACACATCCATGGAAACTTGGATTTAGTAAAGTAAGTAAGACATTTATTTACTCACCACTTAGAAATCCTGTGTGAGGGAAGATTTCTCAAACTTGACAGTTTTTGCATCTCTTTCAAAGGAAAAAAATTCATATGGACCTCAATGTTGATTTTTCTTTTAGTGTTAGAACCAACTATAAACTTCTTATACCCATAGCTCTTATGCAGTAAATTGATGACATTGTAATTGTCAATAATTTAATTATATAACTTAATTTAATGGGAAACATCTCTTTGGTAACTAAATGGCCATTTGCCATGTGAATATAGATCTCATTGAAGACAAACGTTCTTATGAATTTGGCAAATCCATTTTAATCCCTCACTTTCCCATTTGAACTTCTGAAAACTTTCATTATTCGTGTGGTACATCATGATACTATTGGAATTTTTATTTGGCACAATAATATCACTTACGTGTGAATCCACCTCTGTTCTTATCATTAGAGGCCAAGAGTAGGCGTGGCACTATGAGGCTTCAATGGTGTTGGAAACCAAACTCGGCACTTAACTGTTGGCAGTGTTTGGTTATGGGTGGTTTTCCAAATGAAAATACAATTTAAAAATTCTGAGATAATTCTTGGATACCCAAGGATGCTTACCGAACCCCTTCCCCCCAATTTGAGAAATGCTGGAATAATGAATTTGTTTCCTACATAAAATGATGATGATTTCAGTATGTTTTGCAAAATGAAATTCATTGGACCATTAGATTCTTATATATATTCAGTAGAGAAGAGAGGCAGAGCAATGCACATTCTGGGACTCAAGTGGGAACAGGAAACTTGAAGTCCTACTATTCGGTGTGGAAGCCACCATCAAGAATATAGACCATTACTGAGGTATTAGATGGCTGGGGCTGCCAACCCTCTAAGTCTGTGCTTCATGCCATAGTCTGGGTAGCTTAAACAATAGAAATTTATTTTATCACGGTTTAGGAGGCTCTAAGTCCAAAATCAAGGTGTTGGTTGGTTGGTTTCTTCTGAGTCCTCCTTAGCTTGTACATGGTTGTGAGAAGACCCTTCTCCCTGGGTCTTCACGTTGTCTTCCTTTTGTGCCTGTCTGTTGTAATCTCCCTTCTTAAAAGGACACCAGTCACACTGGATTCGGGCCAATGACCTCATTTGAACTTAATTACCTGTTTAAAGACCATATCTCCAAATATGGCCACATTTTGACATGCTAGCAGGTTAGGATTTCAACATATGAATTTTGGGGGGACACATTTTAGCCCATAAAAGGTATGGAGGGCTCCAGGAGGGATGTCTCCATGAAAAAGAAAAAAAATGGAGTCGATGGAGAACCTTCTGAGTGGATCTTGGTGAAGGAAGTTCTGTGTCTCTCCAGTAGAGTTTGGGCAGAATTGTGGAGAGGCACGTAGGAACCTAAACAAGCCAAGAAACTGAGGCAGTCACCAACTTTACTATACACACAAGAGTTTGACACAAAAGTTAATATAATTGTAGTATAGCCTGTCCTCAGCTGTGAATCCTATTTAACAATGATTTACTGAAAATTGATTAATCAGATGTATACTATAACTTTTTTTCAAAGATGGGAAGAGGAGAAGCAGATGTGGAGGTGATGGTATAAAAGAGAGAGAGCTTCTGTAGAGAAAGACTTCCCCTAGGAGGGAGTTAATATTAAATATCGAAAATTAGGAAAAAAGAGGGTAGTATAAACAGTACTTAGAACAGTGTTGACTTTATAAGGCATGGAAAGGGTGAGTCAGGGGATTCCTGTCTTGTGATAAGCTTCATAGTGTTATTTGACTTTGAAAACTGTATGTGTATTGTTTTGAGAAAATACAATTTTAATAAAAAATTTATATAGATCTTTAACCACAGTACAGCAAAAACTTGGTGATGTATTAGGTACCCAGTTTTTTCTCCGAATTTAGTTGATATACATGTCCTCTGGGACTTAAGCAGTTATTAACAAATAACATATTTTTATGTAATTCTGATAATAGTCATCAACATTTATAATTTTTATAAAGCAACTTGAACTTTGTTTTCTTAAAGATAACCTACACAGAACTGAAGTTTTTGCAGTGTGAGGCGAGTTGGGCATCATTTTGTCAGTGCAAGTCTCTTCTCCAGTTGATGAGTGATTTGGAGAAGAATGCATTAATAATATATTCGGAACTGAGGCACATATGTCGAGACCAAGGGCACACGTGCATTGAAGAAGCTGACTTAACTTCTAAGTTGTCAGACCATATGTCCTTCCAAGATGCTTGGCAGTCTCTGAAGTTTTTAAAGGACATCGGTGTGGTGACATACGAGAAGGGCTGTGTCTTTCTTTATGACCTTTACCAGGCTGAGCGAGGCATTGCCTCTTCAATATGTGACCTGATGACGAGGCCTCCGTGGCATTTACATGTCGATGTCAAGAGGGTGCTTGCGTTAATTCACACCACAAAACCTGAGAATTCAGAAAGTGACGAGACACTGAATGAAAGTCAACCGGATGAAACGGGTTTAGAAAATCCTGTGGCTGTTCTGGACCGGCAGGACAGTGGTGACCATGTTTGGAGTAACGGTGAAAGTGAAGTGAATGTAGAAATAAGTGAAGCTCACCTGGATCAGGATCAGGTGGCTGCTTTGGAAATGGTTTGCTCCAACGCCGTGACGGTCATCAGTGGGAAAGGCGGTTGTGGGAAGACCACCATTGTTAGCCATCTTTTTAAGCATATGGAGCAGTTGGAAGAAAGAGAGGTAAAAAAAGCTTGTGAGGATTTTGAACAAGACCAGGATGTCTCAGAAGAATGGATCACCTTTACCGAGCAAAGCCTCCCGAAGGCAGACAAGGCGATAGAGGTGTTACTGACAGCACCAACGGGGAAAGCGGCTGGCTTATTGCGAGAGAAAACTGGTTTTAACGCTTATACGCTGTGTCAGGTAAAACTTTTTCCAGTTTTTTTCTACAGAGAAAACATTTGCCTGAAAGACGGGCTTGATTTTGTGAGTTTATTTCTTCCTGATGAGTAGGTATTTATTGAATGTCCTAGGGATCCCTGCTTTGTAGTCGCTGAACATTGAGATCAGTGCCCCGCAGAGCAGCCGGTCTGTAAACTGGGACCAGTTTGCCGGGAGGAAGGAGCTGGTGGTGCTGGAAAGTCAATCAGTAGACTGCTTCTTTCATTGAGGAAGTCTTACTATGGAAGAGAAGTCAGCCATACTGAAGTGTATGCTTCATGACGTAGTTCATTTAGGTTCTGGTACAAGCTTTATTCTGGGTGGGGATGGGACTGGTTACAAGCATGTTACCATCCCCAGACCTTATTTGAGAAGCATCTGTGTGGGAAGGAAAAGGTTTTATTCTATTATATAGAAGGAAAACTCCATAGAAGTGAAGACTTTGATCATCTGGTTCAGTTTTTATGTCCTTTACCCACAACAATGCCTGGCCAACAGTCATGTAATACAATTTTCGAATGAATCGATATGCTTGAAAAACATAGTTTGGCTGTAGTTAGAAGTCATGACATTTTGAACTTGTAAAGAACTGGAGAGGTTTTTCTAGGTCTGACCTGCCATTTCATAGATCAAGAAACTCAGTTGTTGGAAGATTTCTGAAGGCAGTAATCATTGACTTGGACTATAAAGGACAGAGAGGCTCAGGTGAGGAGACGGACATTTTATTTCGGGGGAAGGCCTTTCCACAGGCATTGAGGAGAATGATCACAGGGTGTAGAGATGGTTTTGCGGTGATGGCGTTGATCAGAATGAATTCTGTGTATTATAAAATAATGGAAATTGAATTTGGTTTAGACTGGGAACTTGAACTTTCAAGTTTGCAAAGTATCCCATTAAATCCTTGATAAACCAGTGAAGTGAGTAAGCCATATCATCTCCATTTTACAGCAGAACCAGTTGAAATTTGGGGAATTCAATGGCTTGCCCAAGATCGTAACCAGGTGTGGAGCTAGCACTTGGATTCAGATTTGTGACCTCCCCTCTCGTTGCTCTGTCTGCATATCTAACAAAGAAGCTTGGACTGGGCTTACTGGGGAGCCATTTGGGATCCTAAGCAAGAGAGAGAGAATCACAGAGCCATGAGCCACCTCAGAAATGACATCGTGCATCACCTGTATTTGTCACACGAGTGAACATAACTCTAGAGAAGTTCAATGTAGCTCACTCATGGCAGGGACTTCTGATCAGTTTATGATTTTTCCCATTACGACTTCACATCTGATTAGACTGAAGGGTTGGCTTAGAAGAGGAGAGCTGGAGAGGCATTATTACTAAGTTTCATCTTATGTTCCAACTCTGAGCAATGGGTAGTATCTTAATATCTGCTTGGGATGCTGGGAGAATATTTCTGAAGCCACATTTAGGATCAGAAGAGAGTGTAGGGCCAAAGGAAAGGCACTGATGTGGCACTTATGCCATTTATTTATCATCCTTGGGCTAGGGTTACCCGGTTACCACATGGAGCAGATGAAAGTAAAATTGTGTGTGTGTGTGTGCGCCAAATATTGCATCAAACATACTTGCACTGGTGCACCTGGATGGCTCAGTCGTGAAGCGTCTGCCTTTGGCTCAGGTCATGATCTCAGGGTCCTGGGATCGAGCCCCACATCGGGCTCCCTGCTCTGCGGGAAGCCTGCTTCTCCCTCTCCCACTCCCCCTGCTTGTGTTCCTGCTCTCGCTACCTCTCTCTGTCAAACAAATAAATAAAATCTTCAACAAAACAAAACATACTTACACTAAAATGTTATTTATTGTTTATCTGAAATTCATATATTTTATCTGGCAATCCCATTTTGGGTTAGCGTGTAGGGGAAGGTGGTTGTAAGGCTGTGGGAATAATCTAGGCTCATAGGTGGGGCCTGTATTGAGTTGGTAGCACTAAAAATATAGTGGAAAGTGTCAACCAGGCATTTCTAAGATAACTAATTGAATATATAAAATCAAAGGCAGCAGTTAGCAGTGATTCAGATGTTCTTTTGAGACAAGGCCATTGAGAGAATGGGGGTTTTGCTGAAGGGAATTGGTGCATTTGGGTGGAAAACATGAAGGCTTTTACTTAATAGACATGTTGAATCTAGCTTCAGTAGAAAAATTTTAAAAAGATATGATACCATTTAAGAAATCTGTGTATGTATATAGTGTATACATGCATACTTACAACATAGAAACCTTTTGGGAATGATGTATTCCAAAATATTTAATGTCTGGTTTTATTTTCCAAATTTTTCTCCTCATCTGTATTTTTATTTTATTTATTTATTTATTTATTTTTTAAGATTTTTTATTTATTTATTTGGCGGTGCAATAGTGCTGTGTGTGAAGCTTGTTACAGTAAACACACGTAGTACTTATTAAGAAACATTTTTTAAAAACTATTTGATCTTTTTTTATTTTTAGATTTATTTGATCTATCTTTTGTGTATCCATCCCTTTAGGGTTTTAAGAAGTTTGAACTTTTGTGTTCTCTAGTTCTTTAGGCTGTTTCCCTATGTGGCTTTACCTACACCCTCCCTCCCTCCCCCATTTAAGAGTTTTGTTTTAAAATAACATGGGTTGTTAAGATTTTGTTTTGTAAAATTTATAACTTGAATTTAAAGATGCCATACTTTGCTTGCAGGTCAATTATAGCTTTTATTTATGGGAGAAAAAAAGCCTAGCCAATAACCGTCCATGGAAATTTTCTTCAGTTAGAGTTCTGGTTGTGGATGAAGGGAGTTTGGTATCTGTCAGAATCTTCAAGTCGGTTTTAAAGTTATTGTGTGAGCACTCCAGACTTTCTAAGCTTATTATCCTTGGTAAGTTAAATATTGTCGGAATCCTAATGGTTTAGTTCAAAGCATTGCAGTTGGTAGGTTGCTTACACCATTTCACTGGCTTAGTATCCCTATCCTGTAGGTGGGAAGCCGTTTCTCAGAGCCCACACTCCAGCCCCCCTGAGTTCAGTCTGACCTCTCCCTCTGTCAGCTTGGATGATCCTCCATTTGGGCGAGGATATTAGCAGACCAGGCCGCGAAATGAAATGAGTCGTAATGGGTTACTGCTAGTCACCTAAATGATGACTGTTAAAATGGTAAAAACGCCACACACTTAGAGTAAGTAATCATGCAGATCATTTGGAAATAATAAAAAGTCTGAATTATAGACCACTTAGGAGTGAATTTATGATTTTCAGCTAATAAATTAGAGATCAGTAGCCTCTTAAATCCTTTCCCATTCTGGTGAGATTTAGTTAGATTCTGTTGGGTACTACTGGTCTGTGGACTATGATTTCATAGAGAATCATATTGTAAGAATCAAATTGTATACAAATAATTCTCTTAGGTCTTTGAGGATGTGCTGTAAACATTTGATTCTGTTAATGGCTTAAGCATTCCCCCAGTTTCCACTGAGAAAAGAGTTGATTTTTTTTCACTCCAGGGTTGGTTTGTTTCAGATTTCCAATAGAGCCAAACATTATCATTATATTACAGGAATTTATCTATTATCAAATATGGTGGGTTTGTTTATTTTGTATTTTATATGTTTATTTTATTTATTTGAGGCCATAGATTCTTCCAGGTCTACTAAGACCTTGAGCAAGACTGAGTAGGTGACTGAATACCATATACCTAAGATTCTAAGGCCTGTTTTTCTCTAAAATATATGCCCCTACACAGTTTGCCTGGGGTTGTAGGTATGAAGGAAGTTCAATTCAGATTGTACCTTACTGTGTTATCACTGTTATTTATATCTCATACTGTTTACTCTGACTGCTTTGTTGTTGTTAAATATTTTTAAAGAGTTACTGTTCTTAAGTAATTTTGGGGGGGCTTTTTTCTTAGAATAAATCTTTATAATCATAGCATATATCAGTAGGGAGAAATAAAAACAACTTCTAAATTTCAGGAACCCTCTCACTGAAGACCTGCTATATCTTATTCTCCTTTTAGGTGATATTAGACAGTTGCCCAGCATCGAACCTGGTAACTTGCTGATAGATCTTTTTGAGACTCTTAAGTCAAGAAATTGTGCTATTGAACTAAAGAAAAACCATAGAGCAGAATCTGAGCTAATTGTCAACAATGCCACAAGGTATAGTATAATGAAAATTTTGCATTTTCTCTCTGTTGTATTAGAAATAAAAAGTAAAAAAAAAATATCTATTAGCTTTTGAATTAGGACAGTTAAGTGCAGTACATTTCCTGTGCCCTTCTAGCAAACTTATTCTAGCCTTCAGGTATATATCGACCTCTTGCCCCACAGTTAGAAAAACAAAGGTAATGTTTTTCATTACTGGTCCAGCATGAATTATTATTGACATTTAAGAGTGAATGTGTTTTCCTGATTTAAAAAGTATATATGTGAATTAAAGTTGCATCAAGCTTAAAGCCTAGAATAAGCCTAAGGGAAACAGAGAGTTGGGAATGAGTTCATTAGAGTTCAAGGGAGAATGAGGAAGAATTATCCTGTAATTTTTGTAAGGGGAGCCCCAAGCCTCCCCCCAAAAAAGGGAATATGGTATTTTATTCCTTGATGAATCCTGGTGGCACCCATGGCATATTACTCCCCTTAATGTAGAAAAGAATCCTTCTTTCCCCTTAGTTTTTGCATATGCCTTTAGAGTGTAATTAGAGGATCACTCTAAGAGACTCTTTTATTCATCGGGCCAAAATTTATCTTTGTTTTTTGACATTCTTTTAGGAAATGTTGTTTTTGTTGTTCAGACATTTTCTTGGTTGGATTCAGCAGAAATTAGAACATTCAGAATGTCCTTTCTCTATGCCCCTGTCTGCCCTGGATAGGATTGTAGGAGTATAGGAAGGATTGACAGGGATAGGGTAGGATGTTGTAGGTTCATATTAAGACATTAAGCAAAAGAATGCAGTTGGATGTGTAATATTCTTTTTGTCTAACCCTCCTGCTCCTACCTAAAGGCCACCTCTTTTGGGGGAGGTTGGTAGATGATTGGTCACTTTAAAGTCTGAAAATCTCAGAAGAATCTAAAGCACATTAGATTTCTCAGAAGTCACTTTTATCTGAAACTTAGGAATTCCTTTTATTAACCCTTTTGATGTCATTTGAGCTGTGCTGCTTTCATCATTCCTTCTTGTCATCACCAAATATTTAATGTCACAAGGATCCTAGTGATAGCAGGGAAGGACTCCTAGAGTTAGACGTGTGTTTCATGTTATGGGTCAGAAGCAAAACAGGAAATCCATGGTGATTCTCAGCATCCCCAGAATTGGATCTGGGATATTTCAGCAAGGACAGCCTTCTTCCCTTTCCTCCCTTTCAACCCTGTGGGGAAGGATTGAAGATGACAGTAGGGTACCACTAGCTTTGATAGCCAGGTTGCCATTAGGTCTTTTCAGGGAGTTGGTCTTCTTCCAGATAACCAAGGAGAGACTCTGTTATGATAAGGCACCTGCCCCATGCTCTGTTTTCTGAGAGGATTTGCTAGTCTTGGGAAATAAAAGAACAAAAGAAGGTTGAGGGCGTAGAAGCAAAGAGAAGATGTGGCTATTTGGTTCAACTGAGAAAATGGCAGATACATGTATGATATACACAAAAGAAAGGAGAAAAAGAGTGTGATGTAAGCCTATGAAAAAGGCCCTAAAGAGTCCAGATTCACTGAAATAGAAAGGGCTTATGGAGCCAGAAGGGCCCAGATTTGCCTCCTAGCTCCTCTGCTTTCTACCTCTGTGGCCATGGGCAACCCACTGCAGTTGCATAAGCCTCATGCTGCTCACCTGTGAAATGAGGGTAATACCTACCCTGAATAGTTCTTTCCTGGTCTGGAGGAGAGTAGGTCAAGTTCTCAGAATGGTAAATTCCCTGGCAGTTTTTTCTAATGCTTTTAATTTGCTAGGGGTAGGGGACTGATTGGTAAGTGCAACATTATGGTCTTGCTAATTCTATTTTATAACTCATTTACTAATTATAATGCCTATAATGCCTTTTCATCTTATTTATTATCTATTAGCAGTATTAGTTATTGTAATGACATTATCTCTGATGATATATGAAGACACATTTTTGGATACTGATGTTCTTGCTGTGTTATTTTATCTTCACTTAAGAATCTCAAGACGCCAATTTCCAATATTTGATGCAGAGCTGAATATCTCTGATGAGCTAACACTCCCTGCCTCAATACAAGATAAAACATTTATTTTTATCAGACTCCCAAAAGAGGATGCCAGCTCTCAGTTATCGGAAAATGATCCTCACTCTTGTAAGTATAAACTTCTTTTTATGTAGGGTTACAATTTCCGTTTTATAATATACTTACTAAATGACTAGTTGTAATTTTATTTGATGGTAAAGATAAATATTGCTAGTAGAAAATTTAGGCACTGAAATAAATAAACTATTTATTCATCATCAGATGCAGAGTACCTTAGAATTTGGTAAAGAAGTAAGCTCTCCCAGCCCAACATATGTAACCAGATCTGCCTTAACAGATCATATGCATAACATCATGCTCTGGAAGGAATTTGGAAGGACTAATGACACAATATAAACACACACAATAAACACACACATGCACACATACATCCCCAAGAAGTAAGCTCTTGACACATACACACTAAGGGCTTAGTAAGTATTTATTGAGGGAATAGAGGGATGTAGATGATTAGTTTAAAATGAAGCAAAGCCCCAGGAATCCAAGCTCATTCAGGAGAAACCATATCCTAATTAATGAAGATTTTCTTGTATAGCAATTGGAAATTACATTTGCTATTTTGGGTACATTTGTGAACCAAAAATATTGGTCAAACTGTTGCCAAGTTGAGTTCCTACTAGTTCTTTCTGTTTCTTATAAAATGGACAGGCATTGCTTCTAATTAGGGGTCTTAGGGTGACAACATAATAGGGTCAAAAAGAGCACGGAGTCTTTTCCCTTACGTGTATGACCCATGTCACATCACTTAACCATTTGTAAAATGGGATTCATAGGTCACTGCCTGTGGAGCTGTTGTGAGGGTTGAGGGCACTCATCCATTTCGAGGTGCTATAAAACTGTTAGTTTTTTGTGAACAATATGAAATGATCTATTACAAGTTGATTAAACCTTTTGATCTTTATGTGTATTCTAAACATACTTAGCAAACTTTTTTAAATAGAGTAATGGTTTACTCAAAATTGAATTCGTGAAGATTTAAATGATTATTACTGAGAATATATTGTAGTCATCATTCTTAAGGGTATATCCTAACTACTTAGTGACCTTCACTCCAGTGTGAAATTAAGTGACGTACTGCTTTATGTGTAAGCCTCTCCTGCTTTGTGGGTCATAGTCGCAGTTGTCTTAGGTTGGGGTCCATTCACATGCTATAACAATTTTTTTCTCTTTTGAAATGGGATCATATAATACATAGTATTCTATAAATGCCCTTTTATGATTGAAGAAATAATTTCTATCCCTAAAAAAAAGGTCAAATAATCAGGAATGTCTTACATAAAAATGAATATTTCCCTGTTTTCTTCCTCTCCGTTTCCCCCAAGGCAACCTCCAAAAGGTTGCATACTATTACTCTTACTCATCCATTACTCTTACTATGTAGTAAGTTTGGTGTTGATCCTTTTAAGCCTTATTATATTCATACACAAACATATTTATTTCTGCCTTCTGTAAATGGGATTATAAGCTGCACATTGCCTTGTGATTTTTTATTAAGTATATTGTGAATAATTAATAGGTGATATTTATTCTGACAACAGCTTAGTTAAGAGTAAGTACTAGTACAGATGAAAAAGATGAAACTTAGCCGGTTAAGGAATGTGCCCTCCTTGCCATTCCATTTAGATCTACCTAAAATATGGTTGGTTTTATTTCTGGTGCCCATTCTTTATGATATTGAGAGTATACTTTAAGAAAAAGAGTGCTCTGTTTCAGAATGGCAGCAGAGCTCAGCTGATGCTGTTTTTCCGTCTCAACTACAACCTTCAGCTAGAAAATTAGTCCCTTCTTCAAGAGAACTAAATAAATATTCCTTAGAGAGAGGCATATAGTACTTTCCCATTAATAATTAAGTTACTGAGTAAATTATTCCTGTTATTACAAAGTACAAAGACCGAAGACAGGCTTCATAGCGGGGCTAGAACTTCAGAGATGCTGAAGTGTGAGAAAAATGTGTATCTTAGAATCAGTGAAATACAGTGTACATATTGATCTGTAAGATGTCCAGAGAATGAAGAGAGCAAGAGCAGAACAGCACGATCTCATACGTGTAAAGGAAAACAATATCCTGTGAGACCTTTGGAAATTCCTGCTCTGACAGGCCAGGGGTTGGCTGGGGTGAGCTGAGTGGCCGTGTTTTAGTGAGAATCTTCCCTTCATCTGAATGATGGAGGGCTCAGTAAGCAACTAATTTAGTCTTCCTAGAGCAGGGCATCATGAGGCCTGGGCTTTTTCATTCCCCTGTGATTCATCTGCTACAAGGGGAAGACACAAAAGCCTAAAATGCTCTTACCCAAATTTTTATATCTTCTCTCTCTCTCTTTCATGAGAAATGTTCACTGTTTTGTACTTTTGGTAAGACAGATTAGAGGAAGTCTACTTCTCAGCGCTTCGAGGGAGGTTATAAGTGGGATGTCCTCATTGATCTGAGGTCTAAAAGGGAGGCCAGCCACCCTTCGCCATTTGGAAAATGACTTTACTTCCAAGAGCCTCAGCTTCACATTTATATCTAGAATATAATCGATGTTTGTGGTCAAACTATTTCATAGCTGGTTAGGTGCGGCCACTCTTGGGATGGGTGCCCCCTATGCCAGGGTTAATCTTTTAGTTGCTGGATCATGGGGAGGCCTGGGGGTCCTGGGGGTAGCAAACACATGGTTAGGGTGGGGGTGGGGCATTGCGGCATTTTGGGAGTAGCTGTTCTCCATCCTTCATGGAAGTGTCTCAATATTTTATATTCAATATCAACCTTGGATCTAATGCCTGCCTCCTGTGAATGTTGTGAAGATTAGATTCAGTGAAATAACATGTGCAAAGCATAGAGATCCCCAAATTATAATTCAGCTACCGCCAGAACTTCAAACGGAAAAGAGTCTTACCTTACAGGGATTCTGTTACATGGTTGGTCCTCTGGCTCATATTTTAAATTCAGCATTCACTACCCATCAGTGGTGAGTGGTTGTGTTACAGATTAGGAGCTGTCCTGGCTAGTGGTTGACGTCCCTCTTGAGGACAGGCCTTCTAGAACCATCGTCGCTCTCTCTTCTGGTGTGCTGGCTGCTGTAGCAAATGAGGTTGATGTTCCCATGGCCAACTTGTATTCCACTTCCCGGAGCTCCCTTAGCAGGAATTCTGAGTTAGTTGCTCCGTCAAAACAATGTTGTCATTTGGTGCTTTTCTGTGTTAACTTTTTTTCTCTTGAATTACCAGATTTATATTCTGCAGTTAGAACCGTACTCAAAGAAAATGACCTACAAGATGCACAAACATCCCAGTTTATTGCCTTTAGAAGGTAAAGCATTTACAGCATTGTAATGTTCTTAGTCTGGCTTTTAAATCTTGTGACTTATATAGATGCTGTTTAAATGGGAGACTCTCATCATTTATCACTGCTAATTCTCTCTCTAATTTTGAGGTATTTCTTTGTTAGACATGGCAGAGGGCAGTTTTTAAACAGGGGTCTTTCAGGGCACCTACATGGCTCAGTCAGTTAAGCATCTGACTCGATTTTGGTTCAGGTCATGATCTCGGGGTTGTGGGGTGCAGTCCGCATCAGGCTCTGCGCTGAGCGCTGAACATGGAGCCTGCTTGGGATTCTCTCTCTCCCTCTCTCTCTCTCTCTGCCCCTCTCCCCACTTGCACTGTCTTTCTCTCAAAATAAATAAATAAAATGTTAAACAAAATAAATAGGGCTCTTTCTTCCAAATACTATATTTGGAAACTCCCATGAAATCTGGGTGGAACAAAGGTTTACATTAAGATAAAAATTACAGAGGCACTTGGATGGCTCAGTCAGGGGAGCGTGGGACTCTTGATCTCAGGGTTGTGAATTCAAGCCCCACAATGGGTATAGAAATTACTTTAAAAATTCTTTTTCTTTTTATAAAAAGAAAAGATAAAGATTACAAAATGCTTTTTTCCTGGAGAGATTCCTGGAAACCTTTTATAGCGTGTAGTACATTGTCATCGTTGGTAACAGGAATAAGCACAAAACAGATACCATTAAGGTAACCCTTGCTTCTTGCTTGTTCATGTGTTTCAGGCAAGACTGTGACGTCATCAACGCCTGCTGTTGCAAGCACTACACGGGCCACCTAATCAAGTGAGCACTAAAGATCGGAAAGCTCCAGGACAGTCCTTCCTTTGTTCACTGTCCTTTTATTTGTTTTTGACATTTATCACTGTAGCCACATATTTAAAATCTTTTTTATTCTCATTTGTGAAGTCAAATGATCTCTTCAACTAAATATAATATGTATGTTTAAGAACTGACTGTTGTGGCAATCAGTGTAATAAGCAAAAAGGAATACAGTTTTCCTTGTGGTTTTCAAGTTGGCAACCTCCAGCTTCTCCAAGATGAGTGTGGGGAATTCAGAATGTTTTCCAAATAGAATATGTACGTAGGTGTGTCCAAGAACCTTAGCAACAGGATGCCCGCAGAGAGCGCCTTAGTGGACATCTATCCGTGAAATATAAGTGTGGAAAAGTGGCTCTGTTTACACACAGGAAGAATTAACTCACTTCTCTTGCATTTATCAACACCTAGTATTTATTAAGTGCAGAGAAATTAGAGATGTGGCAGTTCCAGGAGGAGCTTCCTGTCTGTTGAGGGAAGACACACACGAAAACCACCTTAGGTAGCCTCACAAAGGGTTAGAAAGCACCAGCAGGAGCTCATCCAGTCTGTGTCCCAGTGACTCTGATCTTGGCAGGCAGTTTCGCTTTTCCATATATGTAAAAAGAGGATACCGACGCAGCATTTCCCTCATGGAGTTGTAGTGAGGATGAAATGAAATAATATCTCTAAAGGACTTAGCTCAGTAACAGGTATATTGCCAGCGTTTTATTTGCTGCTCCTATTCTGATATGAGGTCATAATTATTAGACTAGAAATATGTGTACGTGGGGTAAGACGTGAAATAGGGTAGTGATAGCAGAGACTGGAGAGGAGAGGATGAATTTAAAAGGTAGGCTCAATAAGATTTTGAGCAACTTTTAGAATATAGAGGACAAGAGAGATGTCAGCATTTATGCCAAGATTTCTAATTTGGGAAAATATTTGGCTGGGCTCTATCTTTGGGTTTGAGGTGCCACAGAGGGGCTAGGTAATCAGACCATGACCGTGGGAGCCTGATTTCCTGTTGACATTTGGAGAAAAAAAAGTGAAGCAAAGAGAGTGTGGAAATCATTCTGAGTGGGGGTTAATGCTTAAACAAAATGAAATTGAGGTTTTCCAAACCTTGATGATGTATTCTCATTTTCTGACCCAGAGACCATCGGAATAGACTTCAGTTCGGAGTTGGTGATAAAATTTGTTGTACCAGGAATGCATATCTCTCAGAGTTACTCCCTGGACGTACCTCTCCCAGTCAGGAAAGTAATGAACGAGAGGCCAGTGGTGAAGACTTTAATGGTACTCCTCATGGTTTTGCTAAAAATAAGCATGACTTTGAAAATGATATTCGACTCTGCAATGGAGAAATATTTTTTATAACAAAGGTAACTGACAACAGAAAAATAGTACCTTCCTTTTTACCTATTAGAGATAGGTGGTTTTTTTTTTAATTGCCCTAGGTTTGATTCAGAATCTAATCATATCAGAGTTGACATTCTTCCATAATTTTTTGCTAAGTGTTTTTGCATTCATGTTTATGAGGGATATTGGTTTGTAGTTATCTAGTAATGTCTTGTCTGGTTTTGGTGTCAGAGTAATAATGCTGGCTTCATGAAATGAGTTGGGACATGTTTCTTTCTCTTACATTTTTCTGGAAGACTTTGTGAAGAAACCTATTTTTAATAAGTTCGAAGAGCTTGGGTAACAAAAATAAGGCAAAAGTGACACACTTATTGTATTTTGCAAAGCATCATCTCCTTGGTTGCTGTTTAACTATAGAAACAAGAGAAGTTTCCTTGAATTTGTTCTCATTGTATAAATGCCCTCTTCCACTTGGAGGTTATTTACAAGCTGTGAGGAAAAATAAACTTTTTGCCAAGAGTATATGCAGATTTACATAGTCAGTGCAAGAAGTGAAATGTGTAGACTTCAGAATAAGTCAGACAACACTGTCTGTTTTCCAGAGAGTCAAATTAAGGTCAAGTTTCAAGTTTACTAAAATTTGGGTGCATATGTATTCAGTTTGTGCTCAAGTGTAGGTTTTAGCCTTTTGAAAGTTCTTAGTAATTGTTTTTTTTTTTTTTAAAGAGTTTATTTATTTATTTGACAGAGAGAGAGAGACAGTGAGAGAGGGAACACAAGCAGGGGGAGCGGGAAAGGGAGAAGCAGGCTTCCCGCCGAGCAGGGAGTCTGATGCGGGGCTCGATCCCAGGACCCTGAGATCATGACCTGAGCCGAAGGCAGTTGCTTAACCAACTGAGCCACCCAGGCGCCCAAAAGTTCTTAGTAATTGTGAACATACATGCTATTTTATGTTCAACACAAAAATAGAATATCTCTACAGAGTGTGCATATTTGAAAACATACAAAATAGTTCTTTGTTTTGGTTATAGGATGTCACTGATGTAACTTTTGGAAAGAGAAGATCTTTGACCATTAATAATGCAGCTGGCTTGGAAATAACGGTGGACTTTGAAAAACTAGTGAAATATTGTCACATAAAACATGCATGGGCAAGAACTATCCACACTTTTCAGGTAACAGTGGACATTTATAAAGCTATTTGGACAGGTTTCGGAGCCATAGAGTACCTTCAATGATTTTCTTCCTAATTTTGTTGCCTTTATTTGTTTAATGAGAGACAAGGTTACCAAGGCGTACATAAATGGTGTTGTGGTGTTTATTTATCTTTGCAGCTTACTTTTTTACTGTTACATAATCAGCTTTATTGGGGTATAATTTCCATAGGCATTTATATTTATAAAGCTGGATGGGTTTTGACAAATGTATCCTCTGCCTTTGCTCTTGTGAGGCAGCTCCTTTCTACTTGGGAATAATTTTAGTTTTATACAAGAGTTGGAAAGGTAGCACAGACTATTCCCATGTGCCCTTCAACCAACTTTCCCTAATGTTAACATCTTACACAACTATGGTGTTTTTGTCAAAACTAAGATTACCATTAGAAGAATACTATTAACTAAGCTACACACTTTATTTGGATTTTGCCAGTTTTCCACTAATACCCTTTTTCTAACCCTAGGATCTAATCCTGGACACAACATTGCATTTAGTGCAATTTGCATTTAAACTCTTTTTTTGGGGGGGGGTGGCGGGCAAGACGGGCAGAGGGAGACAGAGAATCTTAAGCAGGCTCCACACTGGGTTTGGAGCCTGATGTGGGGCTTGATCTCACAATCCTGAGATCATGACCTGAGCTGAAATCAAGAGTCAGACGTTTAACCAATTGAGCCACCCAGGTGCCCCTTAGCTCCATTCTAATACTCTTGAATTCTCATAAGCTATTTGTGGTTCTGTTATTTAACTCACTGTTTTGAGCGCCCCTCTTTGATGTTGGTATGTTGCTTTAATCATGAAGCTGCATCAGCCTACATTTGCATGTGGAAAAATTGAGGTTAGCCTGTATCCTCTCCTGGTAGGCAAACATTAATTAGCATAGGGATTTTTTTTTTTAAGTAGATGGTGTTTTATTTATTAACCTACTCCATCTCAGTTCCAAAAAGAATTTGAAATGACTTATAAACAATGCCCGCAATTCAGCCTGATTTTTTGTTTTAAAGATAAAGGAATGATGTCAAGGGGAAAATAAAGGTAAGGGTGGTAAAAGGTTCTCGCTAAGAGTGGGATGGGATGCTGACATGCGCACTGACCTGTTTGCTTGCTAGTGTACACTGCAGATTTGGCTTTACATTTTCAAAACAAGAGAGAAGCAGTCAGTGGACTGTGTCTATTGGATTAAAAAAAAAAAAACAACAAAACAGCCAGTTGTTAAGAAGTACCAATATTCCTGGCTTCGAAGTCCTGGCAAAATTTCTCCCATGGATCTTTGTGATGGGATCTCTGTAATTCTGGAAACTCATATCAGTCAATTTGGGGGAATTTTCTTGAATAATTTCATTAAGATTGTGGCTCAGTTGGTTAAGCGACTGCCTTCGGCTCAGGTCATGATCCTCGAGTCCTGAGATCGAGTCCCACATCGGGCTCCCTGCTCAGCAAGGGGTCTGCTTCTCCCTCTGACCCTCTTCCCTCTCATGCTGTCTGTCTCTCATTCTCTCTCTCACAAATAAATAAATAAAATCTTTAAAAAAAAAAAAAAGATTTCTTGTCCTCAGTTTTCTCTGTTTTGTCTTTCTAGAATGTCTACTGTGTTCAACCTCCAGAACTGATTATCCAAATTTCTTATACTGATTATCCAAATGTCTTATCTCTCTCCTGCTTTCCATCTCATTATCATTTTGCTGTATTTTCTGAGAGATTTCCTCAAATTTATAATCCAGTCTTTTTTTACATTTCTGGACAAATGAAGTATGAAGGGGTCTTTTTATTACTCGATTAAGGTTCTAGTAACTATCTCTAAGTGTTCCTTTTATTAAATCTGGCTCTTGTTTTGTGGTTGAAATAGCATCTCTTACCTCTGAGAACATTCGTGATTGTTATCTTGTATGAGTGTAGTTTGTTTCTTCCAAGTTCAGTTCAGTTCAACAAATATTTATTGAGTTAGACTGTTCTTGGTGCTTGGTTTAGATCAGTCCATGAAACAAAGATACCTGCCACTGGGAAGATTACATTTGGTGGGGAGGAGGAAGGAGACAGACAGACAGACACAGTCATAAAACAATAAGTAAACTACAGTTGACCCTTGGATACTGTGGGGATTCGGGGCACCGACCCCTCGTTGTAGTCAGAAATCCATGTGTACAATTTTTGATTTCCCAAAGACTTAACTACTCATAGACTACTGTTGACTAGAAGCCTTATCGATAATGTAAACAGTTGATTAACACACATCTTGTATGTTCCATGTATTATATACCGTATTCTTAACAATAAAGTAAGATAGGGGCACCTGGCTGGCTCAGTCAGTAGAGTGTGTGACTCTTGGTCTCGGGGTTGTAAGTTCGAGCCCCATAATCTTAAAACAAAGTAATCTACAGAAAAGAAAATGTTAGAGAATCATAAAGATGAGAAAATACATTTGCAGTACTGTGCTGTATTTATCAGAAAAAAAAATTCATGTGTAAGTGGACCCATGCAGTTTAAACCCATGTTGTTCCAGGGTCAGCCGTACGTGATATGGTAGAAGATGACAAATGCTACAGAAACGGGGTGGGGCTAGATGGGAGATGCAGCTGTCATTTTAAATAGTAGTCGGTATAGGCCTCATTGAGAAGGTGGCATTTGAACAAAGACTTGAAGGAGGTAAGGAAGTAAACCATGCAGGTCTAGGAGAAGAGCATTCTAGGTTGAGGGAATAGCCAAGGCCAAGGTTCTTTGGTGGAAGCCTGCCTGTCGTATTTGAAGAACAGGAACAGCAAGGAGGCCAGCGTGGGAGAGTGACAAGAGATGTCAGAGAAGTACTGTGGGATAAGGGAGGGTAGGATTGGGGGCCAGGTAACCTAGGACCTTCTAGGACCATGGTACCCAATATGATATCTACATCTGGCCCACTACCAGTTTTTGTAAATAAAGTTTTATTGGAACACAGCAGCACTGGTTCATTTACATATGGGCTATGACTGCTTTTGCATTGCAAAGGAAGAACTGAGTAGTTGCGATAGAGAACATCTGGCCTGCAGAACCTAAAATACTTTTTTGACCCTTTGCAGAGAAAGTGGTTTGCCCCCCACTTTAAGGTCCATAGAGACTTTCACATTCTAAGTCTATAAAATCAGGAAAGGAATGAATGGTTTGTGTTTTTTGTTTTTTGTGTTTTTTTTTTTTTTTATAAATGTTGAGTTTCAGGACACATTAAAGAGAGACCTATACATAATTAAAAGTAAATGTATAAAAACTTGCCTCCTTTAAGAAGTTCGATAGTTCTAACGATTCAAGGAAGGTATGAAAAGTATGAAAAAAAATATCAAAAGTATGAAAAATAATTTCTAGCAGGTGATTTGAGGTGAAGTTCGGTGTCCCCATCCTGCTTTCTGATCACACCTTTGGCATGACCATTTGATTTTTAGCATCATTCATTCAGTGAGACACTGGATAAAGAAGAGTGAACGAGAAAGAGCTTACAGTCCAGTGAGGAATACAGCTGAGAAGGCGGACAGTCCCGTTCCAGTGAACCTTCTGTGACAGAGGAAGTACAGGGGGCTGGACAGTGCATGGACATGGAGAGGGCCGCTAGTCCGGAAGTGGGTCTGCCCGGCAGGACCCCAGAGAGGTTCCTCGTGTCCGATGGAGCGTGGCTCCAGGGAAGGAAAGAGGAAAGGAGGGAAGGCAGCAGGGTCAAGGCTGGCCTTTGAAGGACCAGATGAGCCATACAAGGAGTCAGGACTTTGTTTTGAGAGCTTGGGAGCTGTATATCAGCTCTAAGCAGAATCTGATGTGATTGGATTTGCTTTTTACAAGTATCACTGTAGATGCTGTGAGGACAGTGGGTCGCAGCACGTGTGAGTATGAGGGAGACTGACTATGAAGCTGTTAAGTTTTTCTGTGTTTGTTAATGATTAGTAACTCAAGTTAACTGAGTTTGGGTTAGGCATTTACCTGCTTAGGAATACACAATATGAAGTCCAAGTCCAATATGCTGTGGATCTATAAAATGTACTTTTTATTTGTATGATCAAGTGTCATTTAAGTAAATTTCTGAGACTCAGCAGCACCTGAAGGAAGTGTTTGTCACGCTTTTATAATCTGAAGAGTTGTTTCCAATTCTCTGTGTCTAGAGAGATAGAAGTGCTTGCTGAGAAAGAGGCTTTTAACTGTGGATCTGTATTTTCTACATGCCCCATCTTGCCATTCGTCTCCCTACAATTCTTCTTTTGTCTGGGGGGATGTGGGGACATTAGGAGAGATAATGGTTCAAACTACTTAGTTTATGTTGGCACTGAAAATATAGGGACTAAGAATAGCCCTGAAACTTGAAGTGGTTTTCTCACAGTTACATGGCGACATTGGGCATTTTTCTTGCCTGTATAATTCTTGGCTTGCTAAACTTAAAAAGCAAAGGTTCATTGTTCTTTTGCTTTGTTTGTCATGATGAAAGTAATAAATGGTTCAACAATGGGAGAATACAGAAAAGTAGAAGAAAAAAAATCATCCATAGAGCCCTCCATTTCGGAGACAGGCTCGTTAAAATTTTTTTTTTTTAAAGATTTTATTGACTTATTTGACAGAGAGAGCACAAGCAGGGGGAGTGGCAGGCAGAGGGAGAGGGAGAAGCAGAGCCCCTGCTGAGCAAGGAGCCCAATGCGGGCCTCGATCCCAGGACCCTGGGATCATGACCTGAGCTGAAGGCAGACGTTCAACCAACTGAGCCACCCAGGCACCCGTAGTTAAATTTTTGATAGAATTTTTCCTCCTTTTTTATGACTTGTTTTGTTAGATATTTATGTTCATTTTGTGTATACTTTTTTGGATCAGAGTAATTTTATTTTGTGTTACATAGTGGTGATCATTCTTTACATGAAAGCATCCAGTTTTTAAAAATGTTGTTAGATTTCAAAGCATCTTTGATGTTTGCAGAATAGTATATCAAATGTCTATATACAGATACTTGATATAAATGTAAACAAAGAAGCAAATTTATCTATTCGCTTACTATCGAATATTTAAGGTGTTTATTTTTTGCTATATAAGTACCAGTGGGATAACACTCGTATACACAGAGCCCATCCGATCGTTGAAAATTCTTTCATTAGGGAAGATTTGGCACTTCATGCCGTCTTTCAAGTTTATTGTTGGGTTTCTACACACCAGTTGTGCATCTGTAAGACCTGAACTTGACCGCATAATTAGGGAATAGGAGTTCATGGGTAATGAATAAACTGCAACTGTAAGGTGGATTTGTAGGAACATACCGGCCAGGTAGCACTTTGAGGACTTCCCTCTTTTCTGTCTTGGTAGACTGCGGCTGTGTGAGGCCATGAACCCGTGACACCACATTAACTCTTCTTACTGCATTATTCCCTCCCAGGGGTCTGAGGAGAAGACGGTGGTGTACGTGGTTGGGAAGGCGGGCCGCCAACACTGGCAGCACGTCTACACCGCAGTGACCAGGGGCCGCTGCAGAGTGTATGTCATCGCTGAAGAGTCTCACCTCCGGAGCGCAATTACGAGGAACAGTGTTCTCAGAAAAACTCGCTTAAAACATTTTTTGCAAAACAAGCTCTCCACGAGCTGGGTGTCTCCAGCAGACCTTGCCTCCCTGTCCAGGAGCTCTGGAGAGAGCAGAGGACTGAGCACACAGCCCTCAGCATCCTCAGTCTCTCCAGTCACAACCACCAGTGTGACCGCCGGTGTCCCTGGAAGCGGGGCCTGTGCGGCTGACGACAGGACGTTCACCTTTCCTGAAGGATGGAAGTTGTCTTCATCCGATGAAGTGGATCCAGAGGAAGATCCATCAGAACTTCGTGGGTCCAAAAGAGCCTGTGGCCTGAGTGGTGCTGAAAGTCCAAGCAAAATCCGGATGGTAGGAGTGATGTTCTCATGCGCTCCAGTTTTAAGTATTGCTCACTTCAGTGTGCTTATGCAGGGCTATGTATTTTTCAGTAGTGTTACCTTGTGCTGGAGCACTTAAAACCAAGTGTTTTCTCACCTCTGTCAGTTTGGTGCCTGGTTGATCCTAGCACTGTCTGTCACTTGGCTTGAGGCCGGCACTCTAGGCCATGGCAATCTATTGATGCGCGCGAGGGGGCGTGCGGGGAGAAACTGGACGTCCTGCACCTTCTTTCTGCAAATCTTCCTTATCCCCCTCCCCTCCTTTTGGTGGCCCACAGCCTTACTTTAACCCCCACTCTCCACTGGAGCAGCTGGTGAATTATCCATGATCTCCAAATGAAGTTCCAGTAGAAGCTTAAGGATTGCTTTATGTGCTGGCAAGTAGACTTGTTCCGGTGTCCTGAGGCTTTCAAGGCTGTGACAGAGAGAAGGGGCCACAGTGGGAGCCCAGAGGAGAACGTGCTAATGGAACCTGCCAATGCCAAGCGGAGTTCTAAAGGGAGACGATACATAGCCTCTGACCCCACATGGCACGGAGACGGTGCAACAGTTCTCTAAGAGGGTGCCAGGGCAAATGCAGCGTGCGATGTCCTGGCGGATTAGGCAATCACAAGTATGGAGTGTTGTGGCCGGGGCATAGCATGCAGGTGGAGGTCGAGCTGAGGACCCTGGAAGAGTGGGGAAGACACAGAGGCTCTTCCGAAGAGATTGGACATTCTCCTGAATGTGATGGAGAACACCAGACGCATTTTAAGAGCTCTGTGAATTGAAATTTATGAAGGTCACTGTGGAGTTTAGTAGATTGTGTTTTGGAGGCCATAGGGGATGAGCTCCTTGCAAAAAGATGATTTCAGGAGCTTGAACGGAATGATTAGGTTCTGAAGTCAGGTAGTAGCGATGGGGTTGGAAAAGAGATGCTTAGGGGTAGGGGGTGCATGGGATTTAATGGTCAATTATATATAGGGGGGGGTCGGCCTGAGCATGAGTCTTAGGTTTCTGGCTTGAGCATCCAGGGAGATCCAGGTACCATTAATCAGGACTGGGAAAAGAGGCCGAGGGACAGGTTTTGTAAGGAAAGCGATAAAAGTAGGCATAGTGAAAGAAAAGTTTGTTGGAAGTAGTAGGATCCCTGCTGATTCTAAGCTTCATTCTGTGCTCCAGATCAACTCTTTGATGTGGAATTTCCATGTCAGCAAAACATCTTTTTCTGAAATTGACTGTGTTACCTCTTACAAAGACCCTGGGATAATAAGGCTTTTGGCCTGGAACAGAAAATTCCAAAGAAAGTCGTTTCTTGCCTTTTATTTCTTTGCATCAGCATGGGATGGGCTAGTTATGGTTTCTGTGGTGGTACGAAGTGACAGCGATATCCACCTTCGCTGCTGAGCTTGCCAAAGCTTTGAAGCTCGGGCCCAAACCAACACTGCAGAAGGTCTGTGGATGCGATGAGTCCAGCGCTGGCTGATGTCACTATCCAAAGGCTCCAGTACGAGCAAAGTTCTCTAACTGAAGAGGATAAGCTTTCTCACAAGGCGTGCCACAAGTATGTGACGTCCAAGAAAGCCCTGGAAATGAGGAAACTAAGAATTCAAAGGCTCCGGCCCGATAAATTAGGGACTTCTGTGTCTAGACTTTCTAGTGCGTTGAGATATGTGATTTCTAAACGCTCAGATTCAATGACCAGGGCTGTCCCCCTACCTTTCCTGCATATCCATGTGGCTATATCAGAGCCAAATCAGCACTTAAATTCTGCAGGTACTAATGACAGAGACCCTCCTAGATGAAAGCTTTTGCTTTTCTGTGGATTAATAGCTTTAGGTTTTGAAAAAAAGCTTTAAAAGAAAATGTTGTCCTGATTTTGCTTTTTTTTGTTTTGTTTTTGCCTCATGTCCCACAACCAAAAAGGGAAAAACAAAAATATTCTTTTAAATAAAAGCATATGTATAAATATTCTAAAATTTATCATATAAAGCAGTGATTTCCAGAATTTTTTGAAAGAAAATAACATTTTGTCATTTAAAAAATCTAGGAAGGATGTAATCATAAAATCCCAAATAAAGATAGTTCTTGTATTAGGGTTCTCCAGTGAAACAGAACCAATAGGCTGTGTCTGTATCCCTATATATCTATTTACCTAACTACCTACCTATCATTTATCATCTATCATCTCTCTTTAGATTTATTTAAGGAATTGGCTCATACTTGTGGAGGCTGCCAAGTCCAAAATCTGCAGGGCGGGCCAACAGACTGGAGACCCAAAGAGTTGATTTTGCAGTTTGGGTCCAAAGGCAGGCAGAATTCTCTCTTTCTGGGAGGCGGTCAGTCTTTTTTTCTGTTAAGGCCTTCAGTTGATCAAATGAGGTCCACCTGCATTATGGTGGGTAATCTGCTTTATTGATCACCTCCTGATTTAAATGTTTATCTCTCCTAAAAATACGTTCACAGAAACATCTAGAATATTTGACCAAATATCTGGGTACCATGGCTTAGCCTAGTTGACACATAATGTTAACCATTACAGTGCTCTAAATTGAACAAGTTTAGCATTATGAAAGATTACTTGAATTGTGCTTATTTTTCTCATTTCCCTGTGGTGGCGAAAGCTTTCCCATGACCGTACTGGTCCGTTGCCTTGTGCTTGGGAATCACTAATAGTACGAAGGATCCCAGTCTTGCAGTGTTGCATCTTACCACACCTAAGGCTGGCATCATGGATGTGCACCCTGAACAGTCAGCCATACGGGGCTTTGTGCTTACAGCCACTCCATACTTGTTTTAATGTTCTGCACTTGGCATCTTGAAATTCTTACCTTTGAACAAAGGGCCCACATTTTCATCTTGAACTGGGCTGCCAAATTATGTAGTGGCCACACTGTTAGAAATTATATATATGTGTACTCATTCGGCAAATGGTCACTTCTTCATGCCTGTCCCAGAGCTGGGTGCTGAGGATACCACAGTGAGCAAAAGTGGACAGACTCCCACAAAGGGCTGGCAGCTGATTGCTTGGGTCTGCTCAACTCTTCCAAGGCGGGGGAGGGGGCACGTGTCATGTCTTCCAAAGAAGCAGTCAGAGGGAGTAGAAATACATGGGGTAGGTAAACTGACTACGTTTTCACAAAACTAACTTTATTTTTATTGTTGTCCTTATAGGTGGAAGAAGCCTCCCCACAAGTGTCTTCCAGACTTCAGAATTTGAGACTAAATCATTTAACCCCCAGGCAACTTTTCACACCCACAAATAATCAAGAAACTTAATTGTTTCCGATTGCTCAAAGTAATTACCTCTCTCTTTTTTCCTACTCAACACAAAATGAACATCATAGCTTCAAACTCTCAAGATATAAAACAGGATGTCTGTGACTGGAGTTTTATTTTAAGGTGTTCATGTTAGCATATATTTTAAACTCATTTGATCGGAGAAAACTATAATGATCTCAACATCTGTCATCATGACTGGTAGCATTGGACATAAATGCAGGCAAAATCTGTTGTTTTTTGTTTTGTTTTTTTTAAACTCTGTACTTTAGAAAGTGTTTTATTTTTACAATAATGCCTTTATTGACTCCATGATCACTGTGGGTGCTCTTTGCCAATGGTTTGAAGCCATGGTCAAGAGAAACTGCAGTTACACCTCCTGTATTATTGACACACATTTCAGGATGTTGGGTCTTCTGCCAGTTGTTCAGCTTGCAACATTGCTGCTCGCTCCATCACTGTTGGCCGGACCCACTTCACCCGGAACTGTTTTCCTAGAAATTATCTTCTGAGCTGGGAGTACGTTTTTTTTTCTTAATTGGAGATATAATTGACATATAACACGAAGTTGAAGGTGTACTGCATGTTGATTTGATACATTTATATAGTCCCTGTGATTACTAGGTGAGCTAATTGCATTAGCTAACACCTCCATCATGTCACATAATTGTCATTGCTTTTAGGAATACGTTGTTTTGAAGATACTCCACTTGGGAAAATTATTTTCTCTCAGAGTGATTTTTATTTTATTTTATTTTTTAGAGTTTTATTTCTTGTTAAATGGTAAAAGAAAAAGGTAAGAAAAAAATTTACCTGTTATCCCAGTATTTGAAAAATAGCCCCACTGAGCTATAACTTACATACAATTCACCCATTTCAAGTGTACAACTCAGTGGCTTTTGGTATATTCACAGAGTTGTGCTAGTACCACCACAGTGGGTTTTGAACATTTTTATCACCACCGCCTCCAAGAATCCCTGTACGTCTTGGCTCTGATCCTCTCACCCCCTCCAGCCCCGGGCAACTACTGATTTATTTTGTCCCTATTGATTTCCCTGTTCCAGACACTTCACATATAAATGGAATCATACGATACATGATCCTTTGTGACTGACTTCTTTAACTTAGCAGAATGATTTCAGACTTTCTCTTGTGGTATGTATCAGTGCTTCACCTCTCTCTCTCTCTCTCTCTCTTTTTAAAGATTAAAAAATGTAATGTACAAAGAACTAGCATTGTTCCTTTTATTGGGTAGATGTCTTGGAGAATCCACGCAAGGAGTCTCACTCAGTCTAACCTGACGAAGCCTACATCCTTAGTGGACTGATGGGAAGACTGGCAGCATCTCTGGAGGCTGTATCTGTGGATCAGACCATGTCGGTTTGAGCTGATGGGGCAGAAATCAGGAACCCTGGCTGAATTCTTGCGGGTAGCTCCAGCAGAGCAGCTGCTGACCTCTCTTGCTCTCATTAGTGCAATGTAGGCAAAAGACCTTCATCTCCTTTCATTACCAAATAACACTATATTATGTGGATATAGCACTTTGAATTTCTCTGTTCATCAGCTGAAGGACATTTGGGTTGTTTCCACTTTTTGGCTCTTATAAAATGCTACTGTGAACATCTGTATACAAGTTTTTCTGTGGACATATATTTTAATTTCTTTCAATTATATACCTAGGAGTGGAATTGTTTGGTCATCTGGTAACTCTCTCTATTTAACCTTTGAGGAACTGCCAGATTGTTTTCCACAGCAGCTGCACCATTTTCTGTTATACTTGGAATGTGAGGGTTCCAGTTTCTCCACGTTTTCTCTAACACTTGTTATTATCTGACTTTTTTGATTATAGCCATGCAGTAGGTGTGAAGTGATATTTCCATATGGTTGTTTGTTTTTTAAAGATTTTATTTTTCAAAAGTAATCTCTGCATCCAATGTGGGGCTCAAACTCACAGCCCCAAGATCAAGAATCACGTTTCTACTGACTGAGCCAGCCAGGCAGCCCTCCGTCAATCTGGTTTTGACTCGCACTTCCCTTATGGCTACTGATGTTAATTATCTTTTCATGTGCTTATTGGTCGTTTGTATGACCTCTTTGGAGAAATGTCTATTCAAATCTTTTACCTATTTTTAAATTGGGTTATTTTTATTTTTATTCTTGAGATATAAGAGTTCCTCATATATTCTACATACAGGTCCCTTATTAGAAATGTTATTTGCAAAAAAAAATAAATTCCCGTTCTGTGGATTTTATTTTCACTTTTTTTGATGGTGTCCTTTTACGCACAAATTTTCAGTTCTGATGATGTCCAATTTATCTCATTTTTGTTGTTGTTCCTTAGGCTTTGGTGTCACATCTAAGGAACTACTGCCTATCCAAAGTCATGAAGGTTTACTCCTGTTTTTCTAAGAATTTACATAGTTTTAGGTCTTACAGTTAGCACTTTGACTCATTTGAATTAATCTTTGTGTATGGTGAAGTAAGGGTCCAACTTCATTCTTTTGCATGTGGATATCCAGTTGTTCCAGCTCCATTTCTTGAAGAAACTATTCTTTCCTCATTCACTTGTCTTGACACCCTTATCAAAAATCAATTGGTCAGGGGCGCCTGGGTGGCTCAGTCGTTAAGCGTCTGCCTTCAGCTCAGGTCGTGATCCCAGGGTCCTGGGTTCAAGCCCCACATCGGGCTCCCTGCTCAGTGGGAAGCCTGCTTCTCCCTCTTCCACTCCCCCCTGCTTGTGTTCCCTCTCTCACTCTCTCTCTCTCTCTCTGTCAAATAAATAAATAAAAAATCTTTTAAAAAAAATCAATTGGTCATAAATGGTGAAGGTTTATTCCTGGATTCTGAGTTCCCGATTCTATTCCATTAATATTTACATCTATTGTTATGCCAGCACCATGCCCTTTGTCAGCTTTTTTTTTGAAATCAAAAAAAGTGAGCCCTCCAATTTGTCCTTCTCTTTCAAGATTTTTGGACTATTCTGAGTCCCTTGCACTTTCATATGAATTTTAGGATCCGCTTGTCCGTTTCTGCAAAATAGCCATTGGGATTTTGAGGGGTAATTGTATTGAATCTGTAGATCTGCGGAGTATTACCATCTTAATATTAAGTCTTCTGATCCGTGAACATGGGATGTCTTTCTATTTATGTCTTCTCTCATTTCTTTCAATGGTGCTTTGTTTTGCATTTTTAATTTTTTTTAAAGATTTTATTTATTTATTTGAGACAGAGAGCACAGGCGGGGAGAAGGATCAGAGGGAGAGGGAGAGGCAGACTCACCACTGAGCAGGGAGCGGGTACGGGACTCAGTCCCAGGACCTTGAGATCATGACCTGAGCTGAAGGCAGCCGCTTAACCTACTGAGCCACCCAGGGGCCCCTGTTTTGCCTTTTTTTAATTTACTCCTGGGTATTTTATTTTTGATCCTAATGTCAATGGAATTTTTTTTCTTATTTTTGGTTTGTTCATTGCTACTGGATAGAAATACAATTGATCTTGTATCTTTCGATCTTGCTAAACTCATTTATTAGTTTTAATAGGTTTTTAGTGGATTCCTTGGGATTTTCTATATATGAGGTTATATCATCTGCACATAGAGATAGTTTTACTTCTTTCCAATCTGGATGCCTTTTATTTAATTTTCTTGTCTTAAGGCTCTGGCTAGAACCTTCAATAAATTGTTAAATAGAAGTGGTGAGAATGGACATCCTCGCCTTGTTCCTGTAAATTTACAAGGCCTACAAGATAGTCTGCAAAAATGAAAATGTTGGCACTACAGCATAGTTGTTGTTTTTTTTTAAAGATAGCACACATTAAAATTTGCACATTTTAAATAGTTTATATAAATGTATTTCATAGAATACATATGATGTTCTCTGAGGGCAGATATTATTATGATCCTTGAGTTAAAATCTATCTTTGTTACCTAAAATAAAGGTATAATTAGTCTGGGAGTATTTCTGTCTACAGACTGTTTTAGGACTTAACATACCTTTTACATTTTGTCCTTAAAGCAGTCCCCAGAGTGCAGATACGACCTTCGGTACTACAGGTGGGGAAACTGACTCGCAGTAACTAACTTTTATACCACCAGTGAGCACCAGAGCTGGAATTCAAAACCAGGTCTGATTTTAAAACCCGTGTTCTTCCCACTCTTCCATTCTGCTTTTCAAGTTTATGGCAAAACCTTTCCTCTCTAGAAAATTCTATAACAGAAAGCATTGTGTAGGGCTCATCTAGAATACTAAAATATAATCAAAGTACCAGAAAAACTGCATATCATAATTTTTGGCTTTTTAAAATCACTGTTTATTCCATTTGGTAGAGGGTTTTTTTTTTCCATACAAATATTTGCAACAATTTTGAATTCCCCAAAACCATACAGAGACGATAAATACCATGCTATTAAAGTATTAAATTTGTACAAAAATACTTTACAGCTTAATACTTGTTTGTTACAAATAAAAATACATATTTAAGTGACTCATGATCTTTTTTTTTTCTTTTAACATGATTCTGCTTTATACTCTCTTGCCCTGGCGGGTTGTGAAATACGATTGAAATAATATAGTTCTCTGCACAAAAAGAAAGGTGAGCTTTTTCCTTAAACAAAGGACACAGTGTTCAAATGCTTTACCTAAGCAGTTGTTGGAATCATTGAACAAAATGAAAATGTTTGGAAAATAATCATTTCAGTATGGAGATTCTACAGTCAATATACAGACCTATTTTTTTTTAAATATTCACCAAATAACAGTTATTAGCGTAACTATTCAAAAGATCTGAACAAATGAGAACAGTTGCTGACAAACATCTTAGAAGCAACTGTCACAGTTTATTGCTTTGAGGGATGGTAATAATTGGCAATGCATTTTGTGAAAAATGTATTTACAATTTCAGTAAAGTAGCATGGCTCAGAACAAAAGATAGTCCAGTGTCATCTTAAGGTACATGTGCCGTACACCCCTCTATAACCAGTTTTCAAAACATGGCAAGCAAGATGAGTTTGATTTGCCTATCATTAAGATAAACCTCATTTTGATAGACTTTTCATTCTCTCTTAAATTCTCAGTCTTGAATTTTAAAAAATAACTAATTCTCAGTGTTACTAAGCACTCTAATTCATTATCAGAGATTTGCAGCTATTAAAAGTGTGTCCTTAAAAAAAAAAAAAACAGGTCACAAGACATATCCTGTTTGTTAATTTGTTGCATAGGGAATAGCATACATCTTAGTTAAAATCATTCCTATATTGGGGCAAAACATTTACCACCACCTATTATGGTCTCCTACGTGCATCATCGCTGAAACGTTTTAAGATAACTTAATGTTACACCTGGACCCCTCCCATGGCAGCAGTCCCAGCCACGTCTCAAACTCCATTTCCCCTAGGAGAGCCAGCTTTGTGACAAGCCTTGGTCAAGTTCTTAATGCTGACGACTTCATAGTAAGAAACTGTGATTTCAAAGTGCATTAAGGAAATTGCCATAGAGAGTATTTTCAAACAGACATCTCTCTTTTTAAAAAGTGACTGGAAGATGAACTCGTAAAAAATTTCCTCTGATGTTAATTGGGGGGAAGGGGCAGCCTATATATTTTTCTTTTTCTCTACCATTGGGCCCGGCAGGGAATGGCCTGCCATATACCATAGCGGTCACCAAGAAAGAAACCTCTTCAGCTTCAAAGGGAAGTGAACATGAGCCATGAGAGAGATTTAAAAGACCCCTGTGCTTGCAGTTAATGCCACATGATATCTGTGCTTTAAATGCCACAGAAATCTTAAAGGGATTTTTTAGCACCATGTAGATATTGTCTTTTGTCCTGCTTTATAAAAAGCATTGCTATAATGTGTTAGTGGGTTCTCGTATCTCCAAATTACCACCATGACTAGGCTGTTGGAAAAAAGCACTGTTCTGTTCACTCCATTCTCCTCCTGGTAGAGTCTGTTCTATAGACTTCTGTGAAGCCAGTGGGTTTCTACTAATAACCAAGTCCAGCTTATTACCAGATTCTGCTATGAGGGGCACAACAAGGCAGCAGTCAAAGTCTCTCGTTCGGACATGATTAACCTGAAAAATCAAGAAGAGCCATTTTGAATTATTGTTCTAATTCTCAACACCCAGACTAACACTTCTGGTGTAACAGGTGTCCTGAAGGTGCCTAAACGAGCATCCTTACACTGAGAGGTCTATCTCTTCTCTGACCAGGAGGTGGCCATTGGCCGACTTATTCTTTGCTACTAAATCATAAAGTCCTTGAGAGCAGGGAACAGGGGCACATCCCAACATCCCCAGGCGGGGCAGACTGCCTCGCTCATGGCAGGGGCTCCAACGACTGAACGTCATCGCTAATTTCCCGATGAGGTAAGTGAGGCACAGAGTGGTGAAGAGATTTGCCTCAGAACCGCCGTTGGTAAGTGGCCCAGCTGGGAAGTGAGCCCAGGCAGTCTGGCTGACTCCGAAGCTGTGCTCTTGACCGTGGTGTTGGACTACCTCTCCAGAAGTGAGCCCATCCACCTCAGCTTATACGTGTGCGCATCTTCGTTCATTTCTCCTTATTCTTCACCAACAAGGGTTT